TTTTTAGCTCTTTCTATACACATATGAGTGTCTGAATTTGTTTCTCTAGTCAACCCAGACTAACACACCACCTTTAAGGAAATCCAATCAATATAACTATTATTCCAATGGATGCACCCGGTACTAAAACTGAAAGAATTGAAGAATTCTACCAATGACTTCAATCTAAAATGGATCAAACATACAGTCAAGATGCATTGATAATTACTGGCAATTGCAATGCAAAAGTTGTTCCCAGAAGGCCATGCCCTGGGAAGAATCTGCTTGTGCATTCGTAGGAGCTCGGAGAAACCGGTGACAGGCCAGCCAGGCTGCAGAAAGCCACAGGGCTGGTACAAGTCTTGTAGCAGCACGTCGTCCTCAAGAGACATCAAGCTAGCCCACTGCAGAAGAGCAGGTCAAGAAGGGCCCCATTTGGGTGAAACAAAAGTGTACTAAGCAGATTGCATGCATTTCTGTACCTAAGCGCTAACGCAGATGTACAAGCAGACCCGTTTTGTTGTGCAGTACACATAGTCTGTTGTTGCTTTTGGGTTGGTTGGTTTGTTTTTTAATTTAACAAATTGCGGGTTTGTGGCAACTCTGCTTTGAGCAGGTCTATCTGCCCATTTTTCTAAGTGTGTGTACACGTTGTATCTTCATTTATGCAGTATTTCAAACCTGTTCACAATGCTCAAGGTGACCTTGTGATTAGCAAGCAGCGCAGAGCATAGCCCATAAGTGCACACTTGAGAGACAATGGTATTATGTAAACATAATTTTTATATGCAGGGATACCTTTATATAACAAGAAACTAACCTCCCCCAAAAGCAGATGACTCATTTTAGTGTGGTAATCCGTTTTTTCAGTGATCAGGAATGGCATCGCAACATCACACCAGGCCCATATGTGGCATTATAAATGCCAACAAGGAAAGATCATCTCCCCAAAGCTTGACTTGGTGGGGGGAGGGGGGCCATCATGGTACAAGTTGCAAGTTATACTTTGTAACAAGTTGCAGGTATAACCTTTTTGAACAATACGTCTCCTAAGGAGCTCTGGTGGCGCACTGGTTACACTTAGAGTGTAGCGGTTACTCAGTGGGCAGCTAATGGGAAGGTCAGCAGTTCCAATTCACTAGCGGTTCCTTGGAAGAAATGCAGGGCTTTCTACTGCTCTTAAGAGAGTTACTAACGTTGCCCCATATGCCTGTGAAAGTTGGTCCTGGAGTTAAAACGACTCGAGAAGAATCCATGCATTTGAATCGTGGTGCTGCCGAATGACCATGGACTGTTTAAAGGACAAGCCGATCTGTCCTGGAAGAAGCATGGCCAGAGGCAAGGATGGCCAGATTTTGTCTTACATCCTTTGGACACAATGTCCGGAGAGCCCAGAGAAGGGCCTCATGGTGGTACAGTGGAGGGCAGCAGGGGAGAGGAAGGGCCTCCAGGAGGTGGACTGACCCAGGGTCGGCAACAAGAAGCTCAAACGTAGGAACAAGGTGAGGATGGCGCAGGACTGGGCAGTGTTCTGTTGTGATAAGGTCGCTGTGGTAGTTACATAACCTGTTGTCATCTTGAGACTTTTCATTTTTAATCATTGTATTGGGGGCTCATACAGCTCTTATCACAATCCATCCATCCATCCATTGTGTCGAGCAC